CAAAAAAAAAGTAGTCAAAGGTAAACCATTGACGTTAGTGGTCAAAATTTGACAGAGGTAAGCAGCTGAAAGCAGGATCCAGCAATGGGAATTTCTGGCTCAATTCCATTTGAAACGGCACCCACTTCTGCCTATCAAATACCTCACTTTAGAGCATCCACAGATACTTTCCTTAAGTTCCTTGTCAGCGTGAGATCAATCACTATTACCAAGCCCGTTCTACACAAAGGTTGCGGTGCTGAGAGCTGTAACGATATGTCCAAAGCTGTGCAAGGATCTAGCAGTGTGTCTGGAACTGCGTTTACCTTCCATGGCATTCACCGTTACATGGTACTTCAACAAACTTTTCTTATGCCTGTCAAGAACATCAGCATCTTCTCCAAAGGACCAAGTGAACCAAATTGCAGGATATTAGTTGCAAAAGAATGAAGCTTTAAACAATTTTGGAGAAGATGACAGCAACATCAGTCCTTCATATCCAGCTGGACTTGCTGTTGGCCTCTGCACGTGCTCCTATGTGGGACGTAAAGGGAACCTATGGCTTAAAAAAGTGAGGAGAAACCTGCTGCTCTAGGGGTTTGATCTGATACCACAAAGTCGTAGGAAAACTTTCAGCCGATTTTTAACAAGGATTGGATCAGACCCATGTTGCTGGCGAAGCACCTTAATTTTGGTGCATGTGGGTTTCCAGGTCTTAATGTGTGTTTTTTTACAGCGGGTGCCTTGGGGTGAAAGGAGGAGTTCAAAGCAGAGCATCACTGTTTCTGCTTGCTGAGTTGATGCTCGCTAATGAAACAATGGTCTCCACTGACTATATTTAGCTGCACTGCAGGCTGCCAAAGCCAGTATACAGTACTGTGGGCAGACAAGCAAGGAAGCCTAATACGCAACAGGACTAGGGCAGGCATGAAAGGAACGATATCTTCCCACAACTGACAAGTCAAGCACTGCAGCACTGTGGAGCTGGAACCGTATCAATTGTAAGCAGTTGTCTATTCAATTTTCAAAAACTTACAGATCAGGTAATTACTGGTGTTTTGAGAACCAAATTGTGCTCCCAGTCAGACCCCTACAATGTCTCTGAATTCAATGAGGTCACCCAAGGGTAAGTGAGGGCTGAGTTTAGTGCTTAAACGCTTTTCAGACATAATTCTAGTTGGAAAATACCTCTCTTCTAAATTATTTGAGAACAAAATATTTCCCTTAGCGTCCTTTTCTGCAGCAATATATTGAAAAATGTCACAGTTACTTACAGTAGATTTCTTTGTCAGCCCAGAAAACTTGGATCTATGAAAATCCCTCAGAAGCTGAGCACATTTTTCCATTCCATGGAGACAGGAATACAAAGATTTTTTTAGATGGATTGGTGTCCCATCTCCTCTCCCTCCCCACCCCCCTTTTTAGGTAATATGCTGATAGAACTCGCTTTATGTGTAATACCTCAGACGCCTCATATATGCTGGTTTGTTTTGCTTTTGCATGGGAGAGGAGTCAAGCACCACAATAGCCATAGAATATACTAGTAGGAGGAAAATAAACTAAATTAACACGATGCCTCCCAAAGTCATCACTCAGATGACTCAGAACTTGTAAAAGTTCTTTGGAGAGTAATGAGCGTGACGGTGCTCAGCAGCACCGTGAGCATCGGCACAGTGAGCAGCTTCCTGTTAACGTTCTATAAACTACTCTGAGCTGTCTTTGAGGCTGCGTATCTTCGCCTGTCTGTGCCATCGAAGCACAAATGTGAATACAAACTTCCGTGTTTCCTGTGGCCAGAGTCACCTTGACTGAATACACAGCCTATCGGCTGCCCTGAAGCCGTCTCTGCACACAGAACTGTGTACTTAGTGAGTGGCACATTGGGATTAAAAAGCATTACTGGGATTAAATGTAGGTTAAGTCTATCTGTCTGATTACTGATGAATCAACTATATCCCCATGTAGACACAAACATGCTCATTATTTCTGAGTGTGCTAAATTTACATTCGTACCATATGGTTTAGCACCCAGTAGCCTGTGTGTAGGGTAAGTGACTTTTCTCTTACTTATACTCTCCATGGCCAGCCAATCAGACCAGTTTTCACTGTGAAGCAAAAATGAAGCATCCATGATTGCATGATTCCATCAGCTTTCTTGATCCCGTACAAGTACTTCTGGACACTCTTTGACTAACTTCATGTGATACTCAGGCTCTCCTGCAGTTCCTGTTTTGCACATAAATTTATCTTTGCATTGAGTTCTCTGGTGTACTGTTGAAATCTTCAGGATTATACCAAGCGTGTTTTTTTTAAACTGTCTTTTGACAATGTGTTACTGCTCCTGTTTCTGTTCAGTTCTTTCTCCTTTAAAGCTGTTGTGTTTCTGAAGATGTTGTTTTCTTGCATCCATGAAAAAAAGTCTTTCACTGCTCTCCCCTTCTAAAGGTTAATTAAAATTTCACAGAACCCCTCTGGCCAGTTAGTGGCTTTCATTTATAGGTTCTTCTGCTTCATAGAAATT